ACTGCTTTTCCTACAGAGGCTCTTTCTCCAGAGCTCAGAAAATATCACTATCAGCTTACTTGCCTTCTGCAAATTTCATTTCTTTGAACATCTGTGTGTCTTGCAGAGATTGCTGCAGGTGTTTTTACACTGGCACAGGAATATCCTCGTGTAGCAGAAGTACAGGAAAAAAACAAGCTGAGAAATGATCAGATGGAGCTGGCACTCCCTTATTCAGTGCAATTCCTGCAGATGCAGCTGAGTTCTTCCTGGGATCGTACCCCTGAATCCAGGTAACCATTGTCCAATCTCATTTGCCTGCAATTCTTTCATTTGTAAATCTACTCATTGTTGTGAACGTGGTAATAAAGCAGCAACAAGAAAGTGATCTTTCAAACAAAATAGATTAAAATAAAAATCAAGTTACATGATTATGCGGTTTCCAGACAGTGATTTTTCACTTACTGTGTCTCAAAAACTTGAAACTAACCACCTACCACTTCTACTCTTTTTGCTTCTACTATTCTCTGTCCAAAGATAAATTATCATAAAAGTGTCTCTGAATACATCCTGATGTTTCCTGTACCTGAAACAGTTTGTTTTGGTTTGTTTTTTTCCCATTGCTGTGGAGCCATCAAATTTAATTAATACCAGAAATATTGACTTAGTGCTAAGAGAAACATTATAATCAAACTAGACTTCCTGCAGCAGTGATGCCATCTCCTCTGCGCAGGGCAAGCCTGACACTAGTGCTCAGGAAGGGTATCAGATGTGGCTGCTGGAGGAAGTCTATGACAAAAAAAAAAGCCTTAATACTTCTGCACCGTGGTTTTACTGTACAATTCTTGCTGAATAATGAAGATTGTATGAGCACCCACTGATCTTACAGGGAGTCAGACTGATGAAGCCATAGAGCTGCCTTTAATAATCTAGTGAAAACCCTGAAAAACCTAAGGAAAGTGAAAATTAAGGCAGCAGAAGAGGGATAGACTTCTTTCAAAAAACACATGCAGAATGGGCATGTTATCACACATACTTCTTTGATCTCTTTTAGAATAGATAAATTAAGAAACACAAAATGTACAAATACCTTTGAAAAAGAGAAAGGGTAAAACATTCAGAAAAATCATTTCAATCTATTTGAAAACTATGAACAAAAGTTTGTTAGAAGAATATTAGATTCAATAGATTTAAGTGACTCACTACAATGAAGAGTAAATAGGCAGAAGATAATAGTTTCTGTCCAAATATATCCTCTTCCTGGAAGTCCAGGGAAAAAAAGCATAAATATATCATATAAATATGATACCACTATTACAAAAATAGCTTCTTTTGCTTGGGAAGCAATAGACTTCCTCAGTCTCGCCATCTCCTTTCCAAAATCCTCAATAACCTAGTACTGATTTGCTGCAAATATATGGCTTTTAAACTGGACTAATTTGCCACATGGGATTGCAGCAAAATGCAAGTTAATGTTTCCTGACATTGTGCCCAATATCTAATGTCCTTTAACATAGCTATTTAACCACATTGCTATTTAACTTTTATTGGTAAGAGATCATTTTTTCCCTTCTAGGTACATTGCATCTATTAGCCTCAGCTTTACGCTTTTTCTATCCTTTTATTTCTTCAGGATGCTGAGGAAACTATTAAAATGAGTGATGGTCCCCAAGGGCCCGTCTCTGGGCTCGGCGCTTCCTTCCAGCGCTGCTCACGACTCGTGCCCATCTCCTCACCTCCCTGCAGCCCGCTCCCTGGTCCAGCTCAGCCCTGGAACAGCCCCCTGGCTCCCAGGTCTTTCTGCTTGCCCCACCACGCACCCCGCTCTCCGTGCGTCCTCGTTACCCAACCTACCATGCAGATTTCCTCTCCATTTGGATCGTCATTTCCAAATGACAATCTCTCTGTGGAGAGGTCAGAGCACTACAGTGGTGACAGAGAGGCTACGGGATTGACTCTGAAGAAAGATGAACATACATCTGGTTTGTGTTTAATCATAATCTGGCTTGTGCTTATCCTAAGTGCTACAAAATTTTAAAACCTGCTTAATAATTGCTCTCCACCTATGCAGGGCCCATGCGCTATGACTCAAAGCAACAAGATAGGGTCAATAAAAGCT